TCTGGGTCATAGTAGTGTCTTACCCAAGGGGGCAATAAGCAAAGGAAATGCTATCTTTGCTTTGTGGTATTTCTCAGGGACAGAAATACAGAGCCTCTGCTAACAGCAATTGCTCTTGCTTACTGCCTCTGCAGAAGTTCAAGGGCAGGGCACCCCTGATGTGGGCAACTGTAGATATAGTGCCCTCTTGCAAGAGATTTTGTAAACGATACTCTTAGGGGCAAGGCACTCGAGGGGGAGGGGGGTGTCCTGGAAGAACAGCCTCTGGTTTGTTGGGGAGGGGACCCTCAGACTTTAGTCTCTGGAGAAGATATAGATAGCTAAGTACTTGGCTAGTCCTCAGCCCCAGAGACAGTTTCCTGGGTCTTCTCTAGAGAGCTGAAACCCTTCTTCCTTGAGCCTGCAGTGGATGTCAGCTGTGTCCAGCTCAAGCCCATCACTGTGATCTCATCATCTTCCAAAATCTCGGCATGCCTGCCAGAGCAGACCCCAGCCCTGTGGGAGGATTGCCTGGATGGTGATCCCCAAGGACCCTAGCCTAGGCCAAGTACCCTCTCACCCCTCGGTGCCCTCTGAGCTTCCAGGCTGCCCTTCACTAGGCCCCCGGATTAGCATCTCTGTGAAGTCCTGCAAACAATGCCTGCTGTGCTAAAGATGAAAGCCTGGCTCCGGGTGGGGGGGGGGCACTTTTGAAGTCCTGAAAGGTGGGGCCCAGAGAGCAGATGGGAGAGAAAGCCAGGTGAGAAGAGACCCCCTGCCGGCCTGTGCCTCTCTCCCAAGCATCCTCTCCCCTTTGTGGGCTCCCTGGAAGGCCTACATCCACTTAACCTCAGCCCTTGGGCAAAAGCCCACTGCCAGGCCTTTGCACAGCGCTGCCTCTTCCCTAGCAGGGAGTCCAGGGCAAGTGAACATTTGCCACTTTGGGAGCTGAGTGCTTCCTGAGAGATGCAGTGAGCACCGACTCAGGGACTCCAGGGAGAATGAGGTGAGCCACTATCTCCCGGGATCACAGATCCCTAGTCCCAGTCCTTAGGAACACCGAGGGAAAGAACCGGAACCCCACTTTAAGTCCTCGCACTCCGGGATCCCCACCAAGGGAATTCAGCCGCGAGGGGCCCCCGAGAGTGGAGTGCAAGGAAGCTATGAATTCCAAGCGCGCTGTGCGGCCAGGGTGCATCGTCCAACCCGGACGCCCGCAGCTGGGTGCAAGACTCCCCCTCCCCGCGTGCAAGGTCGTCCAGAAGCCACAATCAACAGATCCCACGAGGGCTAGCTTCAGGCACCATGCCTGTGTGGCTCGCTTGGCCTGTCCCTCTGGATAGGGCAGCACAGGTGTGAAGGTCACAGTTCTCAGCCTTTGAGACCACATTTTTTCAGCTCCCAGAATAATAAATAAATAAATAAATAAATAAATAAATCGGGGCTGAAAAAATCCCCTTCCCTTCACATTTCTGGATTGCAGTGGTTTTGTTTCAGCTAGTTCGAGATTAGGGACCCCCCCAAAAAAAAGTTTCTACATAAGAATGTCGCAGCACACACTGTCCCAGGAAGTGTTTCTGTGTTTCTTCTTGGGGCACTTTAGAAAACCCCCTATCCTGCTTTCTGCATGGTCAAGGAGCAGAATAAAGAAAGCCAAGACTTTTATTTTATACACTACTTGATCTTTGCTTGGGAAACTCTATTAATTGAATGGGCTTGCCTTTTTTGCCAGGTCCCCTTTATCATTATTTATGGGCTTTAAATTGTTTAAAGTTCCCTTGACGTTCGATTTACAAGTTTGGGGACTTTTTTTGTTCTGCCTTTTGTCCTGGAGAAAGACATCGTGTTGGAAGCGCTTTGAAAAGCCAAACATGAGAGGTTGGCGGTGAAAGGGAAGCGGGCAAGATCCCTTTTAATTCCGTCCTGTTGGTGAATGGCTCTTTTACATAATTGCAGGAGCTATTTCAAAGCCAGCCAAGGGCTGACTTCACTTAGAACCACATGGAGTCTATTTTGGGCTTTCAGATTTAAAAAAAAAAAAAGCTGAATAAAATAGTTTAAAAAGATGAGGCTTCAATGCCTTCTGCTACTTGCAAATTGGTGTGTCTGATGGGGAATTTTACACAAGCACCTCTTTGTAAGTACGTCTTGGGCCAGGGAAGCTCGATTCTGGGTTAGCTGGGTGAGAATCCCAATTGCCCCTCCATAAATAAAACCCATCCCAAGCTATTTCCCAACTATGTCCAGGAGCAAGTACTGCGGCAATGACGGAACCAACAGACCACTCAAAATCCCTCTAAATAAAAAAAAAAAAAAAAAAAAAAAAAAAAAAAAAAAAAAAAAAAAGCAAAAACAGAAACCCAGCGTGAAGCTGGGGCCGGACTGCTGGCGGGACAGCCCCTCCTGCGCGAGGCCGCCAGGTTTCCCCACGCAGCATCCACGGAGCCTGGAGCGCCCTCGTTGCCCCCTCAAAGCTGCACGACGCTTCCACCTCCAGGTAATATGAATATTCATTTACTTCTGCGGTTCGTATTTTGTGCTTGGCTTTCACACACCTGTGTGCAAAGGCTGGCCAGCCTACAAGCATGGAGCTAACTTAATTACCCTCACTTTTATTGAACGTCTAAGCCACTTTGCAAGTGGCTTAATACAATCCTGACACTTGCTTGGCAGCGGTAAAGTACTCTGGGACTAGGCTATCTTCATCTGCGAGGGACGCTTCCAGAGAAAAAGTTCGCAGAAGTTTACTGGAGTTGGGGAACCCAACTCTTCCCCGCTCGCCCTGCCTTATCCTAATTGGAGGGGGGCGGGGCTCTCCGAGCCTGGTTACTAGGATCTGTGCCGGGTGGTTTTCCCGCGCAACCCGGACCCAGTCCAGTCACGCAGGACTCTGTTGTTAGAGGCAGTTCCGAGCAAAGCAGGTAGGAATTCGAAGGACAGATACCGGTACCTGTCGCTCCCGGTGCATAAATCCAAAGGCTTTTGTTATTCGCAGCCGCCAGGCTCGCAGTGCCTTGCAAGTAGCTGAGGTGTCCCGGAATGGATCTTGTTAATCACGCCAAAACACAAGCATCCTTTTATGATGCGAACAGTCATTTTCTAAGCAGTTAAGCATTAGATGAGAAAAATATCACTTCATAGTTTTCGAGAAAAGCACACTAGTAAATAAAATACGTATTGATGAAAAATTATTTGAACTTACTAATAAAAGATTAGTATTATAACCCCCGCAGTCAATACTTTTCGTGGCAATTTATGGGCACAAATAATATGCCATCAAATTATTTCAAGTGTGGCTATAATTCAAGGGACCTCAATCTTGTTGCTGAACTTTGAGCATAGCATAACAAAAATAGTCAAAGGAATCCCTATTTCTAGGTGTAATCAAGTGACAGAAGTCTCTACAACATTTTTTTTTTTTACAGTGAAAGAGCAAAATGGAAGGTATTGGGGACAGGTAAATGAGTAGTTGCTTGCACAAGCTTTACAGTGAAAGAACAAAATGGAAGGTATTGGGGACAGGTAAATGAGTAGTTGCTTGCACAAGCGTCCCAGAGACAAGCCCGAAGGTCCTCGGGGGCACCTACGTAAATCAAGGAAGCCGTTACTCTGGAAGTTGGGGGAGGGGTGGGGACTGGGACGGACGACTAACAACAAGGTAACGGCACCGGAGTCTGTCACTGTAACTATCTCATAATAAGAGGGAGTATTTATTATGCTCATGAAGAAACCAGCCTTTTTTGCCTTGGGCTTCCATTATCTTCTTTTGTGGGCAAACAGGGGCTAGATCTTGGAAGACTCCACAGACACCTCCTTCCCGTGTATCCCAAAGGGAATTAATTTCCCCTCACACTGCCTAAGCCATCTTGAGGTCTGGGCGTGAAGTGAGCAGAGGCAATACAGGCAGTGCCCTAATGAATTCCTTTCAAACCGCCTGCTGCCTACACCATCTATTACTGTGGCCGGCCCGGGAGTGGGGAAAGGCGTTTGAGATGTCTTTGTCCGGGTGATGGAGGGGAGGGGAGGGGACACTGGTGGGGGAGGAGAGTCGCTAGCAGCTCGGCCAGAGAGTTTTCTCCTGGCCCAGGGATGCTAAGAACGCACCCTTGGCTCTTACCTCTCTGGATGGGCAGTTGCTCTTTGGCCAGACTCTTGGCCCGAGGAGATGGTCTAGGATTGAGACGTCCCCTTGGGGCCTTGGGGTTAGAGCGAGACAGGGGGAGGGAGAGAGAGAAAAAGCCAGAAAGAAAAGCTTTAAAGAATCGAGTCGATAAATTCATAAAGATCGATTTCTCTTTATCCCCCAATTAAATGTGCTTGTGATACATAACACACGTCCAACATGAGCCAGCTCCCCAACCACCAGATCCTCGGGGTGAACTGATTTTTAGTGGCCAATGTAACAATGCCCTCCTTTGCTCCCTGGCCCGGTGCTGTCAGCAGTTCCGGAAGGACATCTAGACCAGGGAATTTGAAGCCGAGGCCCGGGGACCCGAGGAAGCCCTGCGCTCTCTGGAGCGCTTGGCAGGGTCCACCCTTGCCAGGAAACGATCTGGTTTTAAAGAGAACGCAAGAGCTGAAAGTTTGTTTCAATATAAGAAAAGAGGACCAGAAATGTCTACTTTCCTTTCGCAGCAATCCCGCCAATCTCCTGACTCCCAAATTCCTGGGTGTTTACCATCGTCGAGAACGTGGGGGAAAAGTCTTGAGGGGCTCGGCTCCATCCAGCAATCCGCAAAGGGGAACCACGCGCCCTGAAGTCCTCGAGCTGCGCGGAGCCAGGGTGAGAGCTCCCTTCGTTCCCAACGAGCTTAATTAGCGCCTATTTACAAAACGCAGCTTTTATTTAAGCAAACATCATAAAGCTTTCATCAGGATAATCTCACGTTATACAATCCAGAGGCGTCGCAAACTCCCCCCATTCCTCCCTGAAGATGGAGCAGATAAAGGACTCTCTTTATTATCATAATTATCGTGGCTGTTATTTTGGTGCGCGCTGGCAAAGTGGGTAAATAGGTGCGATGATTAAGAATGTCATGAAAAATGAGCAGGGATCGCTCACGGAGGGCCCAGCTAGGAATGGAGGGACCACCAGCCTGCCCACCCCGCCACCAGCGCAACTGGGCAGGTTCCCTGCAGTGAGCCGGGGCTAACAGGCCCCAGAAGGCATCTGGGAGCGAACCTTCAGAGGCAAAACCCTAACTGCCACCCGGGAGACCTTGCCCGGACCTTTGGCACAACCAGAGCACCCATGGCTACAGTGAGCATCACACAGCGACCATAAAGGAAATAAAACACTCCCGGCCCATTCGTGGCGGGTGCCAGCTCCAAGGCATCTCTGAGATCGCCTCCACCGGGATGCCGAGGACTATAGGGTCTAAGCCTAGGATGTAGCAAGGATCTCTCTCAAGTTTGCTCCGCGCGGTGCAGGCGCACAGGCTCGGGCTCCCAGGCCTGCCCGCCCCCCCGGTGGCGCCCGCAGCCCGCCTGCGGCCAGCCTGGGGAAAGGGGGCGGAGCCCTAATTTCGCCCCGCCTCTCCCGGCACAGCCAATGGGAGGTGGCGCTCAAGACCACGTGACACGAGCTCCGCTGGGCAGCTGGCAAAATGTGAATGAGAAAGAGGAGCGCGATTTAAAGGTGCTGGCGGCGCCCGCCAGAGACAAGTGCGCCGGCTTCGCGCGCTCCCCGGCGGCCCGTGGGAGACGACAGACTGCGGGACGGACAGACGGACGCACGCACCTCTGGTAG